TAACTCCGGAGGAGCGCTCGGCAGTGAACGTGCGGACCAGTGCCCCGCCCTACGGATCCACCAGTTTTCAGCGAGGGAATCTGGGAGGGCTGTCTGTCTCCCATCAAGCTGACTTGACAACAATTACGAAAGTTTTTAATTAGCTTCTTGTTATCATTCATTTTATTAATTTCCAGAACTCTCAGRCCATGAATTATTCAGAGGGCAAGCCAACCCTAGTGAGGCGGCCGCGCGTCCCCACCGCACGTGCCCGGCTGGACTCTGGTCGCGCGGCTCGCCAGCTGCCCTGTGAGTCAGCCCCGTACTTGAAGCGGTAGTGGCGTGAAGGTTTGATCAAATATTAAATAACGTAATTATTGCGACAAGGCTTATCTCGCAGGTGGAAAAGAGGTCCCCGTGAGAATTAGATTTCGGCTGCTATTTAAAAAAAAAAAAAAAATCAATTAAGCTTGTGGTCTCCTTTGAAACAGCCTGCAAGGATTGTGTGGTTCTCACGGTGGGGCTGAGACTGCGGCTGCAAGAACACCAATGACAGAACCTTGTCAATAACAATCGTAATCATCATCTTTATTATCCCTCTGGCCACCAAAGTCCTTAGAATGGGATGAAGAACGCTGGTTTTAGGCAGAATCAGAAAGTCCAATTGCAACTTTAGGGATACTGAAAGCCCCTCAAATCTGAAAGATGTTTCACGCAGGTGAGACCAAGCGAGGCCCTGTCGGTGCAGCAAGGGCCAGGGCTGAAGGACGGACAAGTGAGTCTTCCCAGCTTAGAGTGCTCTGTCCTCTCCCGGTGAGTCCCCATGTAGGACCTGGACCCAAGTAGTCTTAATATCACAAGAAAGCAAAAATCGATACCATCACGGCAGTGGGTGCCTACGGTTTATTTATGAGTATAATCGAAATTGAGAGCAATTTCAGAACACGCATTAAACAAATATCTATTCAGAAGTTAGTGGATGGATCTTGAGGACATCATTTGTTAGACSGACAGAAGAAGCAGGACCCCGTGCTTGGACTGGGGAAAAGACACAATTTAAGATGCATGGATTGCATTAATGAGACAGATGGAATTAATGCTCCTGTTTCGTGTTTCTTTTGCCTTTCCTACTCTGCCGGCTGGATTTCCGGAGAAACTGAAACAAACGGAGCTCAGTTCTCCTACTCTCTTAAACTTATTTTGAAATTATTCTTTAAAAGAACTCAGCATCAAACATTTTATTTCCACCCACTGACAGGTGTGGAAACTACTTAAGGAGAAGTTCCTTTCTACCAGAACCAGAGAACTTTGAAAGGCCAACTATCTCTGAATGGCAAGCCTTTGCATTCTCATTAGGAGGATTTTTTGTTTGTTTGCTTCTTCATTGGTTAACTGTTAAATAATAGTCTTAGTATTTCTTCCAGTGGTACACAGGTTCATTCAACAGAAAATGAAACATATATATATTTTTTGCACAGTTTCCTACTGAATAAAATAGGAAACTCTGCAAAGCATGTGTTTTCATGATGTTTTATTAACATAATAGTCTTCTTTTTACTTTGTAAGGATTTTACTTTATACAAAACAAATGCTTAGATTCTTAATGCATACATTACCAATTATCATTTAATACAAATGTATTTGCCTGCAACATTTTCATTTGGGCAGATTAAAAAAAAAAAACAAAAACTTGTAAATCTTTTGTTTGTTCATTCCTGGCTCTCCAACAATGAAATCTGGTCATACTTTTCTATAAAATAATGTGATTTTCTTTACAAATGCATTTTATTAGAAACTTTGATGATATTCACGTCAATAACAACAGAAACAAATGAATCTTGATGGAAGAGATCTATTTTTAAAAATATCTCTAGTGCTTTTTTTAAACATTAACAATTGTTTAAAATTACAGTTTTTAAAATGTACTATTCTGTTTTGAACATCACTTGTTTTGTTTCACAGATTTGCCGGTGAAATTAAAAGATTTAGCTAAAATAGAATGACTTCAGAAGATATAATCCCAGATATTAAGAAGCTTTGTACATTTGGCATCTGATCTTGTCCCAGATCACCAAGAAATAGATATATTTCTGGTCACTCTGGAGCAGTAGGTGGCACACTAAATTTTCCCAATGAACAGAAGCATTAAAAGGGTATTTGGACAGATCAGTGAATGGTTTTTAAATTTATTAACCTCCAAAGAAAAGTCACTCAGTTACAACAATTTTAGAAGTGTTTTTTAGGCAAGAACAACAAATACAAACTCCAAATGCGGCTGTTCCTGAGCCTCAATTTAAATGTTTTTGAGTGCCTGGTCATTTATTACCTTCCACCGCTCTGACAGAGTAATGTAGTTTAAGAGTTTCTTCAGTTCAAAGAAAAACTTTGATAAACACAGGCAATTAATATAGAATTCATTTTATTCAGAGCACCACTTTTCACATGAATTATCTGAAAGTGAATTCTCATTCCGGGGCAGGGTGGGAGGGAGAGAAAAAAGGGGGGGGGGGAAAGAAAGAAAAATGCAAACATCATTCTCACCCTTTCTCTTCTTTTGACCTCCCCTTTTGATATCCTCCCCTTCACCCCACTTTTATTTCTTTATTTATTGTTGGTTGAATTTTTTGGTTGAATTATTTGTTGAACGACTGCCAGGACTTGGCTCAATATAAACACAAAAATGCACCCAAATCATAAAACTGCTCTTCTTTCAGTTATGTTTTATTTGTAAGTGTACTAGGACACATCCCCCTGTTGTATTTTGGCGCACAAAAATGGTTCTGATAGAAGTGGGGGAAGAGGCAGGTAGGAGGACAGCAATGACATAACCAAGGAGAAAGCTCAGCAGACATACATGGACAGTTAGATCAATCCGTGAGACATTTCAGGATTAACACTGGCAGTTTGTAACCACTGTGTGTGTGTGTGTGTGTGTGTGTGTGTGTGTGTGTGCATTAAATAAAATATTTACAATAATCTTCCTTTTTTCCTTTTCCTCTAAATACAAGAATATGACAAGAATGTTGTGTTTTCAGTGGAAACAGGCAGTAGACTGTGAAATCACACTATCCACAAAACGGTCTACCAGAAAGCTAGCCCAGTTTAGTGCTCAGTTTCAAATGCATAGAATGTTTGCGCTGCAAACAATGATATACAACGTAATTAAATAAATAATGCCTAACCAGAGTGAGACCTAATTGTGTTTCTTTCTGCACCTTTCAGATCATGCATGATTTCAGTATTGTTAAATGGCAGGGGTTTTTTCTTCCTTTTCTCATTTGTTCTGTAATTTTTAGTTATGGTTTAAGGATGGTAATAAACCATCTCCACATGAGATGCAAAGAGTATTTTGTACACAAAGGCATTTTACCTAACCACCTTTAACTGTCTCATTCCCCCCCCCAATCCATCAGCAGCTTGGAAGGTACCTTGATTATTACTATGAAATACTATACATGATTTTCTATTTGAGCAACTAATAGTGCAAATTAAAGTTCTTGCTATCCAACATTTATCCCCAGTAATAAATGACTCTTGGTTAATAGTAACAAAAAGGAAACAGTTGTTCTGCTTTCCCCCAGGAGAACATGCAGACTTTTTGGAAACAAATGAGTTGGGGGAAGACCTTTAAATCTGTTTTCCTCTCTTCTGGGATTTAGGTGAATTTCTCACAGCCAAGTCCTGCCCCAAGTGAAAGCAGAAACTTCTCAACATTTCAACGACTTCAGGTTCTCCAAGAGAGGAAGAAAGGGGACCTAGAAGAGCAAGATGAGCCTTATTCAGTGACGAAAATGGAAAACCGAAAGTATCTTTCCTAATATTTTCCACCCCCACAGTCTATTTAAATAAATAGGAGGGGGACCTCCCCCCGCAAAAAAAGCAGATAGTTTGAAATAAAGCACACTCTGAAAAATAAAARGGCAAGCTAAAGTATCCTAAGTGTGTGTGTTGGGGGAGCTTATTTTGAAATAGTCTGTTTTCTAGATTTTAGGAACAAAAATTTAAAGAGAAAAATCTTGCTATAATTGTTTTACTTTACTAGAATAAAATATTTACTTCRGAGACCCTAAATTCTGCCTTTTAGACAGCTCAAAGACAGTAATTCTCACTTTCTAAGACTTTCACCAGATTGGGATAGACCACACCAATGTAGCCACTGTGTGGAAACTTGGATTCCACCTAAACAGCCTCTGGACCTCAACCCTCTTTGAGCTGTGCTCCCACTCTCTTCCCTGGAGTGCAGCCTTTGGAGTCTCCTTCGAACAGGGAAAATAAAGAGGATATGGACAGGCTGGAGGTGAGACTTAAAGGGAAAAATTAAACACGCAGACAGAACAACTAGTTTCCCTACCCCAAATTTCACCTTTCCTTTCTTTTGGTTTTCTTTTTTTGACTCAGTTCACGTGTGTAGGGTTGGGGCGGTGGTAATATTGGTAGTGCTCTTTTTCTCTTCCTTGGGGGTAAATGAAGCTGCAGATTATGGCTCTCGGAGTTAAATTTTTAAAGCATTTTCTTTGCTTTTGTTTTTGTTTTCTTTTATTTGTCTAATTTTTGGTGGTTGGTAGGGTTTTTTTTGTTTGTTTGTTTTTAGTTTTTTTTTTCTTTTTTGTACATAGTTCCTTGGTCCCCAGGAGATTTTGATAAGTGTCTCTGGTCAAAAACAGTCCATTTCCCAACCCTTCCCGTGTCGCCCCCCCATCCCCCAGAACCATCCTGCTTCTTAAAACTCCCCTGCTCCAGCCTCACTTTTTTTTTTTTTAAACCCCATTCCCTTGCTCATCTAAATGCTCCCTCCTCCCCTGTTGTCTTCTTTCTCTACACCCAGCCCTCTTGTTTTCTAGGCTGGGGGAAGGTAAGGGCAGGGAGAGTAGAGTGGGGCCCAGGAAAGAGCAGGGAGGGACTCCCCAATTGCAAGCAGGATAACGGACACTTCAAAAGTGATGGGAAGCAGGTCAGAGGAAAGCCCCCTGAAAMGCCCCCTCAGCTTCTCGTTCTGTCCCACCCGGCACCACCCAACCCCCTCAGTAAGTGGCGGAGAATTTCATCCGCTTCTGCTTCTGTCTCTGGTTGCAAAACCACACCCGCACCACGTTCTTTTTGAGGTCCAGTTTCTCAGCGATGGCTGCAATCTTCTCCGACGAGGGCCGGGGTTGTACAGCGAAGTAGGCCTCGAGGGAGCGCTTCTCTGGCGCGGCGATGGAAGTCCGCTTGCGCTTCTTCTCCCCGCCGTTGAAGAGCTCAGGCTTGTTCATTTTCTCCCGCTGGGCACCCTCGGCTTCCTCTAGCCAAGCCTGAAGGATGGGCTTGAGCGCAATCATGTTGTTGTGYGAGAGCGTGAGCGACTCGAACCTGCAGATGGTGCTCTGGCTGAGCGATCCCACGCCCGGGATCTTGAGGTTGGCCAGCGCGGAGCCCACGTCGGCCTGCGTCACGCCCAGCTTGATGCGCCTCTGCTTGAAGCGTTCAGCAAACGCTTCGAGCTCGCGCGGGTCCGTGTCCGAGTCGCAGATCGACGCCAGGCCCGCTGCGCCCACCACTGCCGCCGCTGCGGACGCTGCAGCCACCTGCCCAGCCGCTGCCGCTGCCGCTGCTGCTGCAGCGCCGTGGTGCGCGGCCGCTGCCACCAGCCCGGGGTGAGGCAGCCCGGACGGCATGTTCATGGCAGCGGCGGCTGCCGGGTGCGACAGGTGGCCCAGGCCGTGCATGTGCGGATGAGGGTGTGCTGAGCCGCCTAGGAGCCCGCCACCCGGGCCGCCGCCACCGCCCCCTGGGCCACCACCGCCGCCGCCGCCCCCGGGGCCGCCGCCACCTGGGCCACCGCCGCCCCCGGGGCCGCCACCGCCCCCGGGGCCGTCGTGGGCGCCTCCACCACCACCCGCAGCGCCCGCGCCGCCAGCTCCAGCCATGAGCGCGAGCGAAGGGGACGAGATGTGGTCCAGCAGATCTCCTGGCTCTAATGCCTGGTGGTGGTGGTGATGGTGGTGGTGGTGCGCCAGCGGCACGGTGGATGTGGACGTGCATGGCACGCTGTTCATCGTGTGGTAGGTGGCGTCCGGCTTGAAAGGGTGGCTCTTGCCCTGGGACACCGCGATGTCCACGGCCGCCAGCGCCTCGGCCCGCGCCAGCAGTGTCTCGTCCAGGCTGGCGAAGAGGTTGCTCTGCAGCTGCAGGCGACACAAACCAAACCAAAAAAACCACAAAACCAAAAAAGCAAAAACAAGACACACACACATACACACACACACACAAGCCGGAAAGCACAACAAGCAAAAGGCAAACACAAAGCAACCAAAATAACGACGGGGGTGGGAAGAGTGGAGAACGGGAAAGACGGAATGGGGGACACAAGCAGGGGAACAGACGAGAAGGGAAAGGAGCGTAAAGAGGGGTACGGAAGCAGGGAGAAAGGGTGACACAGGAGCACATTCCGGGAACGGGCGTGGGAGACGAAAAAAGGAAGGGGGGAAAGAAGAAGAAGAAATGGAAATGTAACTCGCAGCTGGGGACCAGTGTCACACACCCGGGCACGCATAGAGACCGCCTTTCTGAGGCGTGAAATTAGCAGAGAAAGTGGAGGGAAGTCGAGAGTCACGGCCCCAGAACTCCCCACTGGTCGCAGGCGCTCGATACAGAGGCAGAGGCAGACCGGAACACAACCTTAAGCACCGCTGAACAAAACGTGCCTCACAGCGGGATTTCTCTAAAAACCCCTGCCCGCGATCGCCCGCACCCGGACCTGCACACACCAGCACCCGACATGCAGAGTCTCCGAGAGGGGGAGGGGGCGGGCGCGCGGGCCGGGGCCACGGGCGCGGGGCGCTTACCGGCGGCGTGGGCAGGCAGGCCCGCCGGATGGCCTCCGAGCTGGAGTGCAGCGACGGRTACTTGTGCTCAGGGAGGGTGGGATGCATGGCAAAGTGTGGCTGCTTGCTGTTCATGGACATCATCTTGACGGCTGGGCATGTAATCCACAAACACTCCGAAAGTCCGCGGGAAAGTGTGCTCGCCGGCTCCCCCGGCCTCCYTTCAGAGGCTGCAGCCGCGGTGGTAGCGGCGGCTGGCGGCGGCCGCGCCGCAGGCTGCTGCTGCTCCTGCTGCCGCCCGGCGCTCCCCAGACCGCGCAGAGCGCCGCGCGCCGGCCTCGCGGTGCCGCTTCTCCTAGAGCTCTAGCCTGGCGCGCCGACGGGATGCACTCTTCTTACACCTGAGCCCCACTTCTCGCGACCGGCCCGGGGAGCTCTCGCGAGAGCTTGCGGCCCCGCCGCGTTGACAGGCATCAGCTGTCTGTCTAGCGCGCGCTCTCCCTTTCGGCGGCGCCGTGCGTCTGCACGAGCGCGCGCTCGTCGAACCGCTATCGACGCGTGGGAGCCGCTCTTATAGTGACCACCAGCAAGGACAGCGCAGGTGATGCACCTGTAGCTGCCGGGGCATGCGCACTGCACGCCTCACCTTTCCATCGCGGGTCTGGAAAGATCAGAAAGGCCAGCTATTGTCTAAGGATAGCCACCTTTTAGGAGGAAGAGGAGATGCACGCACGCCCCTCTGTGGGTTTTTCCTCTCCCCTTGCAAGTCCTGAATATATGCGCATTACTTAGGTACACCTCTCCAGGATGCCTAACAAGCTGTTATATAATGTATACAGCTGGGCATTTGTATGTTAAATTATGCCCGCGCATTCTTCTGTACACAGGGAAAAATAACAGCACAGAAATGTGGAAGGTGCTGTCTTTTGCTGCAAGAAACTGTTTCTTTCAAGGTTTATAAATAGGTTCCTGGAGAACAGTCGCGGTGACAGACATTTGTTTGAAGCAGTCAGACGCTATTGATTTTCACATAATTTAATTTCCTCCGCATACTTTGTTGTTGTTGTTGTTGTTGTGAATATAACTGTGTCAGGCACCACCAGTGACAGCCACTTAGCCACTAGGAGCATGTGCTTTCTACTCGGAAAGGCTGTTGAAATTGTGCGTTTCTCTTATTGTTTGTCTCCTTTAACCGTGTACAAACCTACGTTTCAAACGAGCTCCTAGTGATCTGAGGCTCCTAGTAATCAAAAGGAGAAAGTAGTTAACAGGGTGTACTTGGGATCTTTTCCTCTTCTCTTTCCCCCCTTCTCTCAATCTCTCTCTCTCTCTCTCTCTCTCTCTCTCTCTCTCTCTCTCTCTCTCACACACACACACACACACACACACACTCGCACACACTCATTCACTCACATTTTATGCTGGAAACTCCTGGAAAAGAAAAGTGCTTCAGAGAAAAGGGACTACAATGTGAAAAAAAGAACTTTCTTTTCCATCCTTTTGTTTCTTTGCCTCTTATATATTTTTCTTCAATAGGAGACAGAAGAAAGCTAACGTATAGGAAAGCATGATTCAAACTATTAATTCAAATCAATCTGAAAGAAAAGACGCAATCTCTGGTGTAGCTTTTCTTCTTCTTACTGCAAAATCAAGACCTAAGAAGAATAAATCAATTAGCCAAACTGTTATACGGCCCTCATGTGGCAGGCAGATCAAGAGGAGCTGCAGTTCAGGTGTCCAAGTCCCTAGGGACACAGCACTTGCCCGAGGTGATAATAACTGCCCAGATGTTATCATATCTGCCACAAGAGAACTGGAAGCAGCAAGGGGCTACTTATGGGAAACTAGATGAGATAAATAATCTTTCAAGTCTCTCACACACCAAGGAAGTCTGTATTTCCACCAAAGAGCAGATCTCATTTCTGTAGACCTAAATTAGCATTTCTGTGGATTTTCTTTCCTTGCATAAATGCATGTACATGCATTTAGCATACCCACTCACCTATTCAGAGTCCAAGAAGAGCCCACAGAAGTCACCATGGCTTTTTCTTTCTTTTCTTTTCCGTTCTCCCACCCCCTACCTTCCTTCTAGCCCGCAAGGGAAGTAAGAAGAATGTTCACTTGCTGGTGTGAGAAGGAGCCACTGCTCCATCCATTATGCAGTCCCCTAGGAGCGTTAAATGCAACTTTATCTCAACAGGGAATGGACGATGAGCAGACGTCGCTGGAGGGAAAAAGTGAGTCCAATGGTCATAGTCACTCCAGGTGTCCAGACTTTAACCTAATCCTTCCTGACATCCGTCCTGATAGATCCCAGTACTTTCCTGTGGTGGGTGAGAAAGGGCCCCTCCCTACCCCTGACTGGGGGCTGGTTCCTGCAGCATGTTTTCCACCCCACCCCACATTCATCCCCCCACTGCCCCAACCCCACCCCTCACCCCACCCCAGAAAAGTTGGCCTTTAGGGACCCCGAAGGATGCAGGGCAGACAGAAAAGCAATGGGTTTGTGGCCAGGTGGGTCCACAGAGAGGGAGTCCCTAAATACCCCCAGGTGAACCTTGATTTACCCCTCTGACCCTGGGAGGCCTTTAGTAAACCCAGCTGAAGTATAGTCTGCCTGATGAAATCAGGAGTTCACCATCCCACTACCACTCCTTTCCTAACTCACCTCCCTCTGGACAACTGGAGTACCTTCCCACCTTTGGGTGAGGCCAGACCTATCTCCTCTTTTTGAGGGGAAATATGAGGACTGGGTACAATCCATTCTTTTCCTTCTCCCATGGATGGGAAGCCCACCTGGCCACATGTGTTTTTCCACCAAGGCAGCTGTAAAAGAGTTCTATCAAGCAATGAACGTGTTTAGGAAGGAAGAGAGGTCAGTCGGGGAAAACAAGGAAGAAAAGGCAGGGAGAGTTCAACAAGCAAGGGCTGATTGGGGTTTGTGAGAAGCTCCTTGATTGGGTCTCTTTCAAAAGGAGTTGGAGCAGTGGCTCAGTGTCCTTGAGTTTAATCCCCAGTATGACCCACCAAAATAAAGGAGCTGGAGACTGGGCAGGAGAGGTGTGCCCCAGAGATGTAAATTTTTATTCCAGCCTGTTGTTTTTCTGAGACCAATTGTTTCACCTTCCCTCATTTACCTGCGACCTTATCTTCCTCAAATTCTTGCTGAACCTTAGTCTAGGCAAGACATTAGAGATAAGAGGTATAAATTAAGAGTACCCGTCCCCCAGGAGGTGACAGTCCATGAGCATGAGGAAGCTACAGAAGAAAGGCATTTAAGGTACAAGTTAATAGATGCAATGAGAGGGAGTTGAACAGAAATGCAAAGTGATGCTTGAAAAGTTATCTTGCATATTCCTGGACCTCAACTCCACTCTAAAGAGTGAGGCACACTGGTGGGTTTTTACTTATGATGGGTAAAAGGAAAGGGTTTCCGGCCTGGACTCAGCTCACCCATATGTCACTGCTTTGTTTTCCTGGCTTGGCAACTGCTGTAACTAGTTGGCCCYTGCCTGTGCTAATGATGCCCACATGGGGTCTAAGCCTTGGCATAGATTCCTGGGCAATTTCCCCCCACCTTCTTGTTTAATGACCCACACAGATCTCCCTCCTCCCCCACACACCATCTCATAGCTTTGCATTTTATCAAGAGAGGGATAATGAATGCACAGCTATTGATTTCCAAGGAATTTCCGCCCCCAGGGACAGGGWGTCTATCATCTGGATCAGAGACACATTTCTTTCCCTCATTAATTAATTTTCTCCTCCTCTTTTGGCAGGCCTCACTTCACATTTCCTCTAGTAGCTCCCCTATCCCAAGCTCAGGAAGTGAACTCATTGGCTGTAGTGAGGAAAAGTGGGRGAGGCTCTGTGAAAGAGCCGGCACTGTACCTGTCCTGGGTGTACCAGTCCCAGGCGAGGACGAGCCTGACAGCAGCTGCCCATTTGGGCTGCCTTTCTCCTTCCAGTGGGGCGCAGGGAAAAGTTAGTGTTTGATACGACAGTGGGCTACCTCCCGCCTCTGGTGGTGAACCCTAATTTCCGGGGTTTAGGGAATGGGGTTTCGTCCGGAAAATGTCGACGTAAGTGCACGGTGGTTGTATACATACAGGTGGAGGGAGTCGGACCCCACACTTGTCAGAACCTGAGGGTCTGATCCCACCTGTTGGCCCTGCTACCTGGGTCCTGGAGGCTGAAGCCTGGCCTTTGCTCTTGGCAGACTCAGAGGGTCACGTGTTTCTTAGATATTGGCAATTTTGAAACAAGGCACTTTTCACCACTCAAGCGAGCGCCCACCGTTCAGAGGAAGCCCCAGAGCCCAGATACTGAGGACTTCAGAAGCCGCCTAGCACTGTTGGGGCAAAGGGAGGAGCAGCCCGATGGAAGGGGTTTCCGATCAAAACATTGGCCGAACTTGGGCTGTCCCGGCGACCTCCTGCAGGGACACTCTCTCGAAGTGTGAAACMGAGGAGGAACAGGTGCGGTGCTTTCTCTTCGCTTCTGCACCGCCTTCCCAGGGTCAAGCCTGGGCTGCTTTGATCGTTCGTCTCCCTCATTGCAACTCTTTGCGCATCCTGGCCCGGTAGCTCCCCCGGTGATTGCCACTGAGTTCCTCGCGGATCTCTATAGTGGCCCTCTGATCACCTCTGGCAGCCCCCAAGGCCGCTGGCGCCTACCCCACCGGGTGCCCAGCGGTGGTCTTGCCCTTCGCAGCCAACATAGCCCCTAGCTATAGACTGGAGTCGCGCTCTCAGATTGCTACCGGCTCTGAGATTTCTTGGAGGCTACTGTCCCATTTCTTTACCCCGCTCTGCCTAGCACCCGCAGCCTCTCACCTCCCCGGTTYCCCAATCCCGGGTGGGTGAGGTCTTGGGCCTCTCCGGACCTTCTCTCCTAAAGACTCCCAACTCGGCTGGCAGACTAGGCTCCAGCTGGGACCCGCAGGCGACATTCTCAACTACAGCAGTGGAAAATCCATTGTTTTCTTTCCTCTGACTCTTTTGTTTTGTTTTTTTGTTTTTTTGGGGGGGGGAACTAGGGGTCGAACCCAGGGCTTTGTGAATGCAAGGCAGACGCTTTGCCACTGAGCTACATCCCAGCCCTCCTCTGGCTCTTAAACTCAAGTGTAATTTCCATTGGGGACATTTTCCTGGATGTGGAACACCCCATCCAGAGATGTCGCTGATGACCTTGCGACCCTGAGGATACCTCTGAGTCAAGTTCATTGCCATTCATTCTCTCTGCATTACATATATAGAGATCTATATTTATAAATCTCCACCTGGTCTCTCTGTGCATATAAAACCCACCTACCTTGTGGAGGCCCTACCAGTGATGCCTGACAACTACGTCTCTGTCCTATCAGGGATCGGCCTCCCCTGCCTGCCAGTTGCCGGAAACACTTTCGCAGCTCAAGTGAACAACGTTATATCGCTTAACAAGGCCACAGGCCCCTACGATTTAGGTCCCGCGAGGAGCAAGGGCTCCCCTGCCCCATCCGCGCCGGCCCTTTCAAAACTGGAAGTGCGCGCAGATCAGAAAAGCAGCTGCCAGCCACCGCCCACCCAGGTTAAAACAAGAAGCAAATCTCTAGAACAGCCAGCCGGCCCCGTGACCCCGCGGGATCAGATGTTGATTTCCTTCTCCGAGACAGCCGCCTGTGGGTCGCTMGGACCTGGACACTTGCACGCCTTGACTGTAGGGAGCTCTATTGGAGGAAATAGAAAGCAGAGGATCCCCACCCAGTCCCGCAGGAGTGAGGTTCCGAGGACCGAGAGGCGGGCGTCCGTCGCCCTCCGCAGGCTCTCTTCTGCCTGCAGAAAGATCCTCAAGAGGGTCTGGAAGCGGCGGAGGAAACCGCGAGGCAGCGAGTCCAAGCCCGAGAGTGCGGAGCTGAGTCCTGTCGCCCGGCTCTAACGCTGGCCGGTGCCGCCGCTTGCCGCCCCTCCTCCCCGCCGCCCGCACAAATCAAAGCCCCTTGCGAGGGACTGGGAAATAGTTGCCTTGTCATGTAACACATTGCCCTGATTTATTATAAAATTTTAACGAAATCATGCATATTTTAACAGCCTTTAATCACTGCATGAAAATTTAATTCATGGACTGTAGCGCGTTTAAATAAATGAAGTGTTAATTCATTAGGATTAATTAATTTGTTAAAGGATTGTGTGCAAGGTTAAGGTGGAAAGAAAACTCTTTGTTGGCTTCGCGTCTTAATCGTCAGGTTTCCAGAGTGATAATAAAATGAAAGGAAACCGCAGAACACTCGGAAGGAGTAGGGCTGGAAAGGCACCAGCTGAGAGCACCCTCAAAAGCGCGGGAAACTCCGGCTGGAGAAGCCAGGAACGGTTTGTGCTCAGAAGTGACTGGGGAGCAGGGGGCGGAGGTTGGGGTTGGGGGAGACCATAATGGTGACGGGAATCGGGGAAGGCCGAGTTCTTTAGGGTCCRAGGGAGAAAGGGAAGCTCAGAGATAAGCTGGCGGGACAGATCCCACCTTCTTACCAAGTTGACCCCATGGGTGAGGCAAGGTTGCCCCTTCCAGCCCTCAGAGGGCCAAGCCTGGACTTAATGGACAGTTGATGGACCAGCCCCGCCACCTGCTAAGATTTTTCAGCGCCAGGGGAGTCACTGTCTCGCCATCAGGCCGCCRGTCCTGGCGACTAGGGCAAGACCCAGAGCCTCGGGGGATTATGACTGGAGGAGGAGCAAAGCCCAATTTGCAAAGCTCAGGCAGTAGCAATATGGGAAACCTCATTCAGTCAGGAACCCAGACTTTAGGATGGGGTTCCTTCAGCGCTTCTGAAACCGCTGATAAAAAGGTGCCCCCTCCTGCATAAGACAAAAGTCTTATGTGCCCAATTCTTTACTCAACTTTCAGAGACCTAGTAAGAACAGCACCTCCATGAAGCCACCAGATTTCCTCACAGTTCAAGCTCTCTGCAACGTGAACACTCTTCTATTCAACAATGTTAAGAATCAAAATGGACTAGACTTACAGGTCCCCTTCTCATAAGTCTCAGTAAATGTCTAAGTCAGATCCTTACCCTTTGTGGAAAGCCCTTACACCCACAGATTATAAACACAAAAAGCCCACCTACACACTTGGCTTAACCCAACTAATATTATTAGAGACTGTCTCCTCCTTATTAACACAGCAAATCTAAGAATCTACCTTGTTTCAAAAAGTGGACTTGGCAACTCAAAGTATTCTAGACTGTTTCAGCCACATAAAACTGAAGATCACCCTAGCCTGTGCTCTAGATGGATTCTTAAATATGCATCTTAATAAATGCTTCCTCGCTATGAGTGGGGTTCCGAGAATTAGGCAATAAATGTTCACTATGCACTCTGAGATCATTGCTTAAAAGGTTTTCTCTCTGCCAAGTATTATTAAAGGGATCAGGTTACATTGTGATAGGCAAAGGCTGTATTGCAGGACTCCCACAAATAGGAAAGACAGACCTTCTTATGAGGTTTTGGAAACTCTTCTAACAGGCCACACACCATAAACTGTTAATTTGATGCTCTCTACAAATACCATCCACAGGCACAAAAGTGGAAAAAAAAAATCTCTCGTGCAGATTATTACTTTGAATAATTGCAAACCATTCAAGTATATGGAGACAAGTTCCTGAAACATATAGTTCAAGATCAGGTGCTCTTGTTTAGTGGTACCTTTGTTTCAAACTAATGTAGATACCAAAGAGATGACAGGAAAGCCAAGCAGGTTTGAAATTAAGAGACTTGAGTCTACCATTTTCAGTTATGTTTTTTTTTTTTTGTCAGCTGACTAAACCAACAAAAAGGACATAATTTTTAGATGTTTTTAAAATTAAAAATACTAAAGGTCATGACAACAAAACCCTAGCATCTAGTTATATTGCTATTGTCAGCAATTTAGAAAAATTAGCCTCAAAAGCTATTTTTATAAAAAGATGAAGTGATATCACTAATATACTGTTTTTCTAGCATAACTTTAGTGATATTAGCCAATAGCAAAAGAAAATTTAAATTTATAAAAATGTTAGAGTCATTGTGAATCTTTAAAAGTATATAGTTTCTATATGGAAGCCAAGCCAAACGTATAGTTTCTATATGGAAGCAGAGCCAAGACCAAGGAACACAGGCCAGGCAGGAAATAAATGTCACTTGTAAAGAATACATGAACACTCTCAAAATAATTTTAAAGGTACTCTTGGGAAATTCAAACCATTCATCCTTTGTTTCCAAATATGAACTCACACACAGGAATGGAAGAGCATAAGCTCTGGAACCAGAGACCCATTTTTAAAATATGGTTCTATCCAATTTCAGCTGTGGTAACTAATCCTCAAGGAGAACTACATCTCTGTCCTATCAGGGATCGGCCTCCTATGCCTGCCAGTTGTCTTCCAGGATTTAAGAAAAAGGATTAGATGAGATATAGGGGAGTAAATATTTGGTCTCAATGTTGGCTTATGTATATATAGAAGACATATTTGAAAATCTTCGAGACTTCCTTATTTGTCATGACATTAGATTATGGTAAAGACATAAAAAATAAGCATATGTTACCAAATTCAAATTCTGTACAAACAGGAACAGCATGGGCTGATGTATGAAATATTGCTTTAGGAAGGATGAAGAGCCTCTTGAAGGTAAGCAACTGGGAAGCACTCTAGACCAACAGATTAGTAAATAAGGCTACACACTTAGATTTGCAAGACACACTATCAGTATTTGGACTAAATACACATTCTTGGTTATAGACAGAGTGAAGCCCCTTTTTCTTAGTTCATTTGAGCTGTTATAATAAAATACCTTAGATCAGCTAATTTATTAATAGAAATTTATTTTTCACAGTTCTGAGGCAGGGTAGTCCAAAGATCAAGGCCACGTGGTAGAAAGGGGCAAAAAAGCTCTTTCAGGCCTGAGTATTAACCCCATTCACAAAGGCAGAGCCCTCATGACCTAATCGCTTCCCAAAGGCCCACCTCTTATTACACTACCTTGTAGGWTAGTTTTCAATACATTAATTGGGGACGGGGTAGGGGGTGGGGTGGACATACACATACACTTAGACCATACCATCCCTACATTTACTGACAAAATTTTTAGATTTCTTCATTTGAGTTCCTAATGGATAACCATATTATCAAAGATGTTTAAACTGCTAATAGCTCTGAAAGTATCCATTAGTGTTAACCTATTATATATTAGCTTTTTCTGGTTGTTACTTCTGAAATTAGAAAGCATAATTCTCCAAATCATAGAAGTGATTTTGTTATATTTTTGTGATTTCATTGAATCTTGAGTCTATTACAACAAGGATCAGCATTTTTTTCTGTAAAACAATGCAGACTGTACATATTTCARACTTTCTAATCTATATGGTCTCTGTTGTAGCTTCTCAACTCTACCACTGTATTGCAAAAGCAGCCATAGATAGTAGGTAATCAAGTGAATATAGCTGTGTTACAGTAAGACTYTATTTTAGAAACTTTGAAATGTGAATTTCATGTAATTTTCTTGTGTCATGAAATATTAATTCTTTGGATTAAAAAAAACACTTAAAAAATTAAAATTCATTTTTTGCTTATAAGCCTTTCTAAAATCTAGTATAGACCAGATTTAGTCCATGGGCCAGAGTTGAATGACCCTGTATTATAAAAAATAATTACAAATAAATTTCCCTGGTCTTTACAGGCTAATTCAATATCAGAGACATCAAGACATACAGTGCTTATGACATTCTTTATTCAATTCACATAGAAAAGCATGCAGTATTAATGTAAAACAATAAGGTATTAATGTAAAATGTTCAGTGCACATTAGATAAACAAGTCATTAGCATACAAACCCATTTTTAAAGACATTTATAGGCATACCAAACATGTTCAGAATAATATACTTTTTCAGAGCCTAAATTAAAACTTGTGCTTAGCGCTTACCTATCCTTACCCCCTCAACTCTTCATTTAGAAAAGTTGTCCTACATACTAGCCAAYTGAAACTTCTTTTTTAAAAGAAGTTTAAAGARATATTTTTTAAGAAAATAGAGCAAGCAAAAATGCTGCCATGCATTTCCACAAAGAACAGTAACATGCAAAGAAGAACATTATCACTATGAAAATCCCTCCCCTATGATATAAGTGGATCAAGGAACTTGGTAAAGAGTGCTTCTGTACCTATACATCTGGAACAATGAAGCTGTGATGTTGAAGCTTCTTCAAACTCAACCATGCCTTCCTTCCAAATTATGCTCAATTTCTAATTTTATATAGACACAAAAAGATGAGCATATATAAGTTACCGACATAGAATGAATACTTTCATAGAGAAAATATATTCTTTCACACTAGCAGAACATTTTCACAAAAACTGGACAAAGCACAATTGTAAAAAATGCAAACATATATGCAAAATTTAACAAAAAGTAAAAGAACATTGGACTGAAGTCAGAGTGCTATTTCTTCATTAAGGCCTTGCATAAAAGATAGGCCATCACAAAACATAAATAAAGAGGAACACACAAATAACCTACACCCTAGAAAAAGCTTTAAAGAAACACTTATGAGCTAAATACTAAAAGTTTCACTTAAGAATAGAGTATTGAAGACAACTGAGCCTCATTAATAAGATACTGTATCTAACAGTTAAATAAAATTCAAGGAAACAAAACCCACCCAACCCAGATACACATAATATTCACTAAAAAGAAAACAATCAAACAAAAACTTTCTCACTACTTTCTCAGGTCCAAAAGATATCTAAATAAAAATAAAAAGACCAAAGTCTTTTTCAAAATGAAATAAGTACAGTGGATACAGGTTAAGTTACCATTCTGACCTGGCATCTGATTAAAGATCATCAATTCAAAACCGTCTAGGACTTTTATAAAGGGAAAAAAGTAACTTTAAAAAATTTTTATGTTCCTTTCAGGATAAAACCATAAATAACACCTCCCTAATCAGTCAACTTTTGGTTGCTTTAGATGGACTGGCATTGGAAAGGCTGCTCTGGATTTTTCTTTTTGTTGACTGATTCACATTTTTATTCCTCTTTTCAGGCACAAAGGAAGTAGACCAAGGAGACTGAAGGTGGTTATGAAGACTGTGCATTTCTGAAGATGTCTTAAATAATGATGACCCAAACCTTTGATCTTCAAATAGTCGATGTGAACTACTTAACAAAACACCCTGGGAAAATTCTGTCTGAAACAAACAGCTTGGGGGTTTGATATCATTAGTTCCTGGATTAGAAGTAGAATGGAGTGAAAAATCTTCATTCATTTCTTGGTCTGATGGAGAGAGGAGAAAAAAGGAAGTAGGTTTCCATTCATTTCCATTTTCTAACTGATCAGTAGTTAGAGAACTTTTGGAAAGGTTTAGCTTAGTTCTTTCTTCCAGCTTTTCAGATTCTTCAAGAAATTCATTGCCTTGAGAAGACTTTGATAACCCATCCAAATCCACGGACTTAAAACCATTATTACAAGGGCTCTTGCTATTGTCTGACTCTGACATCATTGAGTCCAACTCAGAGATTTTGTCAAGGTAAGCAGCATCCATTGATGCTTCGCTGGATGTTCTTGTCCGGTTCATTTCAAAAGAGCGAATACAATTCAGCCTCTTGGATAAACATGAGCCTGACTTCTCACTCAATTTTAAAGATATTTCTCCAACAGAATTTGCTATTGTGTTCTCCTCTGAATTTTCAAAATCCAAGCTTTGGGCATAGCTTGTGGAGCAACAATCCCAAAATCCTGTCTTTGGGGAAGTAAAACATTCTGATTTTTTTTCATTTTCATTTCTACTTGTATCATCTTCTGAAGAATCTTTATTACAAACATTTTGAGAATCACAAAAATCATCAAACACCAATTTTCTGAGATGGTTTGAGTGCTTTTTAGAACTTCCTGCTTTGACCACAGAGCTTTCTCTATTTTCTGGTGTATTTAGCTGAAGGCAACTAAGGGACAAAGGAGTACAAGGGGCTGGAAGATCATAAAGCTCTTCATCTTTAAAGGGTACACAGTCATTTGGTTTATTACTCCACTCTCCTTCCAAATAAGTATCCATACTTGTATCTGTCACATCTAACATTATTTCTACTTGTTTTTGGTACATATCTTTGTTCTTAGGACAGTTTGATTCTGTTTTGCTAGTGTTTTCCTGTCGGGCAGAACTGGTGTCAGAGATTCGGCCACTGGAGGGCTTTGCCAGGTGGACAGTAATGGAGGCAGATGAGCCAGGTTGCTTTCTGGCACTATCACCTTGATTCTTTGATGCCACATCCTCCTCACTACTTTTGCTCCCATTGCCATCTGCAGAAAGTGCTCTCTGGCAAATGGAATCCATAGTTTCCTTCTCTTCACTTGAATTTTTTAGTTGTGCAACTTGAGATTCTAGTTCCTCTATATACTTATCACTCCGTTCCAGGGCTTTCTTGAGGCGATTGGTTTCACGTTCATACTGTTCTACTTTGGACTGCAGAGCAGCAACTGTAAACCTTCCAAACCTAGAAGGAATGGAAGGATAATTAATCTCATAGTTCAAGCTGTTTTCTTTTCAAAATTTAAAAGTGCAAATTGTCCCAGCACATTCTAATTTCACATAACAATGACATTTCAAGCCACTTAGTGAATAKAACAAAGCTATACCAGATATTATATCTTCAAAAATCGTTTCCCCACCTATGTACTAATAACCATATGATTATAGCAAAGATCTAAAAGGACACTGTAGTGGTAGAATCAGATTACTGGTAAGCAAGAGGCAGAAACTCACTGATGATTTCCTTTCCAAGAACTAGTTCTATCAATTCAGTTCATATATGCATGAAGAGTTATCCCCTAAAACAATGGCAAAGATTTATGATAACATTTGAACAGTGGTCCACATCTTGAAATATTTACATTCAATCATTTTCCTATTGTAGAGCAGTGTTTTACGATACATTTCTTATACAATGTCACCTTGTCAAACATAAAACACCAATTTGAAATTCAGAAACTCAGAAGTCTGAGGAGGGGTGGTTTTAAATACTTATTTGGATCCTTTCAATTACAGCCACCCTCTGTATGAAGATTTTCTGTGGCCTTTCTGAACAGTAGGCTTTAATTCATTTCAGCTTTACTTATTTTTGGCATTTTACAATTTAGGATATCAATCTCATTTCTTCCAACTCTGAAATACAAAGTCAGTCCTTATGGTTCCAAAATAGTATGCATAAAAACATTTTTACATTTTCTGATCAGGAACATTGTGGACAAAGACTAGAAAGAACATATCAAAAATTTACTCTTTTTACCTGGTATTTTTTCCCATTGTTCTGTCAAGAACAGGTACTGAGTTCAGCTCAGAAAATAACTTTTGAGCACCTACTATAGGTTAAGAGGTATATTTAAGGCGGACACACACATGAATGAAACTATTCCAACTCCAAGGAAGAGAAAATATCCAGCTTAAATTCTATCTGACCACTAAGGAAAATTCTATCTTTCAGGAAACTGCAAGAAATGAGTAAAAAAACATAAGCCCATAAAAAGTATTTTTCCTCTACCAAGATTCTTGTCAAGAGCTTCAATCAACTTTTTGATGACCTATATTGATCCACCTCTAAGAATTCAGAGATGACCGGTTTGCCGGAAGATATTTGAAAAGGTAACTTCTAAATTTTGTTTTTATCTTTGGGTTTATCTTTGTATCCCCCCTGCATTATAAAAATAATTACAATTAAGAAAATTTATTAAGTATTAAAAAAAAACTATAAAGGAACTGCACCTCCTAGAATCAACCACATATTTTAGACAGTCCATCACCATCTATAACCCCTGGCCCAATTTACTCCCAGTTTAGCAACAACATGATCCTTGCTCTCTTGTTACTAAGGGGAAAAAAGCAGAGGCAAAAGTAAATATAGAATCATAAAATCTCAGGATTAGAAAGRGCTTTAAAAGACATGATTGCTTAATATTGATCTATTCACTACAATTAACTGTGAACTCCCAGGGAGAGTGTACTCCCTCCAACTTTTAAAACACAAAGCAAAACCACGGGCATAACTAAAACAAAAACAACTACTAAAACAAGTCTCTCCATCTTAAAAGACAAAGTTTACTACTATGAGTATCTGTTTAAGTAAATGACAGTTTTTCCTCTTTGTTTAAAATGTGTTAGCCTGTAAATGTACTTGACAGGTGTAGTTTTGTGAGAGAAGTATTAAAAAGTGGACAAAGATTAAGTGTATTTCACAAAAATGTTTGTCAGTTATTGACTTTTTCTGGCATAATCAAATAACCTACATGTTTTAAAATGGAAAAAACATGTAGCATGTTTATTTAATGCAAACAGCAAAAGTGACAGCCTTACATTTGCTTACCAATATCAAATTTGTTCTTTTTTTTCAAAGTGCAGTGTTTTAATAAAGGTATCCTCATATGAAAAAAAAGAAAGAAATCAAATGATTTAAAATTAAATCAAGCTATTAGATAGTAAGTCAGATGTTACCAAAAGATATAGCTGGGAACTCACAGACCTACATAAGGAATGACAAATGACAAATAAGAATATTTTTCAATAGCAATGTCTTGTTCCAGGTTTTAGCTTGGAATGTCAAACGTATTAAAACACTATTTTCCCCTACATTGTTTCTTTTCTTCTCTCTCTCTCTTTTTTTCCCCCTATGGTGTTGGGARTAAAACTCAGGACCTTGAGCATACTAGGCAGGTGCTCCATTACTGATCCACATCACCAGCCTTATTTGTGTTTTTAAGACATAACAAAGAATTCTGAGTTTGAAATTATTGATATCCCTAACCAAATTTTTTTTTGTTACTTCAGACAGAAAGCTAAAGTGCTATGAGAACTAACAACAAAGGCCAGCAATAAAATGAACTCAAGAGGGACAAGCAAGTAGGAGTCAYTGATGAAGTTAGAAATGTTTTTTCAAAGCTCACTGTCCCTAATTCTCCGAAGCTCCACTTCAACACTTTACAAGTCTATGATCAGATCTTTTTACCATGCTAATAAGAGACCCAGGCTGGTAGTCAAACTGACAGAAATATGTAATGAAAGCAATGGAATCAATCAATTAATTAATCAGTCTATGTAATTTATCTGTTTTCTAGCTCCGTAAGAGTAGAAGTTTTAAGACAGCAGGGAGTTTGACTGTCTTACATTCACTGTTAGATCCCTAGAATAATTCCAGTTACACAGCTGTCCCTTATTAAATACTTCTTCAACAAATGTTGTTCTCTTACTTTCACATACATGAGTGCCTTACATGAAGATGGTCAACACCAAAGAATAAGTAAGCCTAAATAAAGGTCCTTGGTCCTCTTTTACATAAGTATTATGAGAGTCACTATATTACTAAACCACATGTGCTTCAGACATTTGACTGTTTACTTTCTTTTATTATTGACACCAAGGAAATCACCCCAGACTAACATATACACAGTATCTGCTTTTTAATTGTAGGCTTAACATTCTATAAAGGTCCATCCAAAAAACTTCTGTTTTTACCTTAATAAAAGAATACCAGATGAGACTATTTTTTAAATATATTTATTTTATTTTTTTAATGTGGTGCTGAGAATCAAACCTAGTGCCTTGCAAATGCTAGGCAAGCACTCTACCACTGATCCAGAACTCCAGCCCCTCTCACAGACTTTGTTTTTTTGACAGTGCTGGGGATTGAACCCAAGGCCTTGTGCATGCGAGGCAAGCAATCTACCAACTGAGCTACATCCTCAGTCCCCAGATGAGACTTTTGACAACACCTGTATTAAATTTGACAAAGGGAAATTTATCACATAGAAATAACATTTAGGGATACATACATGATGTTGTACCTCCATGGAATAAAACAGTTAGGATAAAAGCTTATCTTTGAAGAGCCAGGCATGGTCACTCACCTGTAATCCCAGAGGCTCAGGAGGCTGAGGCAGGAGGATCAAGAGTGCAAAACCAGCCTCAGCAACGGTGAGGCACTAAGCAACTCAGTGAGACCCTGTCTCTAAATAAAATAAAAAAATAGGGCTGGGGAATGTGGCTCAGTGGTTGAGTACCCCTGAATTCAATGCCCAGTACATCCTCTTTCCAAAAAAGATTATCTTTGAGTTTTAAAAAATACTCATTTATTCATGTTAATTCCAGATATTTCTAGAGTACATAATATTAAATGAAACAGTGCCAAAGCAAGCCAGAGGGATGGTGCTGGGGATCAAACCCAGGGCCTTGTGCATACAAGGCAAGCACTCTACTAACTGAGCTACAACCCCAACCCAGACAGAGGGTTTTCTAAGACCATTTACCATAATGCCTTTTCYTGAGCAAGTTTCAAAATGGGGTATTTTTATAAACATTTCATTAGAGATCCAAAGGCTTTGATTTTCAAAGTAGCATGACAGCCAAAGACTTCATTATGCCACAGAAACACCGTAGAGCAGTTTGGGGAAAGCAACTGATATTGGAAGCATATTCTGCCAGAATCTACAAGTATCAAGAATTTTTTCAGCTAGCAATGTTAATGGAGGCATACATTCTGGATGAGAAACAAAGGATGAGAGTTTGTCCTTGTCCAAACAACTACAGAGGCACAAGATTGTTCCTTCCCTGCTAGAAATAAAAGAAATTACAAGTCCTACTTATTTGAACTTTGAAACACTGTAACTACAGTAAGAGCATCTCTAAAAAAATATGCTTAAGACCACATTTTTTAATAGCTCATTACATAGAGGAACAAGATATGATTAAGAGGGGTTAGGGGCTGGGGATATGGCTCAAGCAGTAGCGCGCTCGCCTGGCATGCGTGCGGCCTGGGTTCSATCCTCAGCACCACATACAAACAAAGATGTTGTGTCCGCCGAAAACTAAAAAATAAATAAATATTAAAAAAATTCTCTCTCTCACTCTCTCTTAAAAAAAAAAAAAAGAGGGGTTAGAACAAATGAAATAAAAGAGTAAATGTCAGAACTGAGCAATTTATCTGCTTTTTGACTCCCCCATTTGAACTGAAGCTCCAGGAGTGAAGGAAGTTTGATTATCATATTCATTGCTAGATACCTAGAATAATTCCAAGTATACAGCAGTCCTTTGTAAATGTCTTGAATAAATATCATTCTCATACTTTAAAGATAGAATGCTGCTATTAACTAGTTGTGAAAGTGTTGCCTCTCTGATTCTTAACCCCAGTAAATTCATGAATCCCAGTGACTGCCCAAACTACCAAACTTCAGAAAGTAAATGGTAGCATAATATTCAAATAGTTCTGCACCTTGCTCTTTTCATGAAATTAGTATATCATGGTCATTTTCCGTATTAGTTCAAAAAGAACCCTAAAGAGTTTATTCATTTATTATTACTTATTACTATTTTAATTGGTCCATTATACTTACACATAATCACAGGATTCTCTCTGATATATTCATATGTTAACAATGCATAATTTGATCTGTTTCATTCTCCAAATCCCCTTCTCTCTGCCCTCCTCCCTAGGAATCCTTCTAGACTACT